ATGAGCAAGCGATTCGACAATAAACAGGGAAAGAGATAAACGAAATAAATTTAATTTTTAAAGACTCAAATAAAATTTTACAGAAAAACCTTCCCTGATAACAGCAAATGATCAAAATCAACAACTGTAAATTTCCAGTACCCACTTAAAAAGGAAGCCTCAAAGAATAAAAAAAAACCAACCAATTCTCTTCCACACTAAAACTTATGTGTTCTGTACTTTATAACATGCTCACGTAACAGTAAAAAATAACAGTCCTTACAACTCCTTCAAAACCAGTGGCAATGTTAAAAAATTGTATCAATAACCAATCCTCTCGCTCAAATGTCTGAGCACCAAGAAATCACAGAGCACCCGTTAAAAACCTAACCGGAAAAAGCCATGACCACCCGAAGCCTCCAGCCAAATCCACCTTTCCCAAAATGTTACTAGAAGAGTCTCAAAACAATAAAGACAAAAAACGCCATACCTCTTCTTGCGGAACACAGCGAAACGTTGCATTTTCCGGCAACCGTTTCTCGCACTCCTCCTGCTCACTATCACTATCACTATCACTTCCACCTCCTCCTGGCGCCTCCTCACAAAACAGGGCTCTCATGAACGAAAAAACCTCGACACAGCCAACGAGAACTTAAAGCAGTGTATCTAATTATGGTCGCAATCACAAACCAGGTTGACAGTGAAAGTGCTCCACTTAAAAGCACACATCTCTTTTGGGTAGGAAGTGTACACCGTTGAACAACGCAATATTATAGGCAACTTACACCAAAAACGCACTGCTTTGCACCAAAATGTTGTTCCAAAAAGAAATTGAGAACCAGTGCCAATAACTTTATTAAACCACGGTAAGACTAAAGAAGTCCCGCCTAAATCAGATCAGTGTTGAAAAGAAAAATATTACAGTTAACATTAAACAAAACTTGCCTGAAATCGACTTTTGTAAAGCATAATATAGTACACTGGTAGCAGAACTAAAAAGTACCAATGTTCCAAGAAAAAAAAACCTATTACGAGAATAAGAAAGAACAAGAAAAAGATAAGCAGTTCTTTTATTCTTCTCAAAAATAAAAAACATAAAAAGCAAAAATTTGTTCGACAACGTCGGAAATGATTAGATTAAGATGAACAAATCACAAATAAAAATGCAAAGATCTAAAGAAACATGAGACAACTTTTGGGTGGACTCGACAAATATATATATATACGTCTTAGAAGAGCAATTGAGTACAGTCTGCACATCAGGATCACAAGAGCTGGGAAAAATTATACACTTAATCTCTTCCAATTACATTCCACTAATCTGACAAATTGATTGTGGAATCTTGAGTATTAAACCAAAGCAAACTAACAATCTATGTAAAAATCCCCAACACAAAACCAGTTGTTTTAAGAAAGATATTATAACAACGAGTGAGTGCAATTCACAAGACGAGGGCAGAAACAGATATAAATGTCGTAGCGTTGGAATCAAAATCAGAGGTAGGAATCTAAAAAAAATTAAAATCTAGACAAAGAACACTTATTAGAACTAAGTTTCTCTTAAATGAAAGAATAACTGAAATTACAAAGTTAAACAAGGGTTTTCACAAAGTATATTAAAGTTAGTTCTTAAAAAAAGGAAAATGCGCCGTTTAGTAGTGGAGAATAATGATAAGTCTTTCCCAGAGAATTTTATAAGTTGCTGTACGAGTGAGAACTTGACATCGGAATTCGAAGAGAGCATACCTTAACAGCTTATTCAGTTGATTCTTATCACAACTCTAAACTCAAATATTGAAGGTGTGTGTTCAGCGACGGAATTTGTGTCATCTACTTTCAGGAGCCGGTGTGTGGAACGGCACGGCTGAGTGATGCCACTATGCCCCAACCAAACATGCAACTCTGTATATCCTTCAGGATTCTCATTCTTTTCCCGGCAAGATTTCTTATCACACTGAGCTCCTTGCGGTAGATTGACCTCATAATTCAACGTGTCCGCTCTGGTTGCATGACTCTCAATATCTGCCTCAATCAAGCCATGTAAACCTCTTTCAAGTCTCAGCATTTCTGAAACGAGACCATCGTGCTTTTGCCTTGCAGAGCACTGAGCAACAGGTTCAGCTGCCTGAAAAGAACTATTTCATTTGGACTTTGTAAACGAAAGCTAATTTTAGTTCTAGCTGCAATTAGCAAGGAAAGCTAGAGGTATTTAGGGGAAAAACAAACTTCTCTTTTCTCCCTCTCCAAAACAAATTTCTGCATGGCTTTCATAGACGCATCAGTAATCTTTGGACAAAACGAAATATCAAGACAAGTAAGGTTCTGAAACTAAACCCCATCAACACGAGTTAGACCAAAAGTGTAGATTTATAATCAGGCAAAATAAAACTGTCCCCCATAAATAAACTAACAGAAAAATAGCGAGAATAGAAAGCTATTTTTGCTATCAGTAACCCTGCAACCATAATCAGTGAAATTAATGAGTTAGAAGAAAGAATAAAAGTACATGACTGTAATCAAACACAAGTGAAAAATTAAAAACGTCGACTAATTTCAGCAAACCATAAGGGTACGATGAGAAGTGAACTGACCTTACAATGTTTTAAAGCGAACTCTAAGCCAGAATCAGTCACTTCGTCGCACCTGTGAATCAGCAATACCTAAAAATAGTATCTATTTAAAAAAAAATCAAGTTATAAAATCCAAATCCATAACAGTAAATGCTTACTTTCAAAAGTCCTCTTTCAGCGATCTTTTTAACAACGGCATCGGAAGTAACTCGTAGCATTGAGAGATTGAGGTAGGCTAACAAAGGGAGCTTTGCCAACTCAAGTAGTCCCTGCTCAGTAACAAAACGGTTGCAACCACTAAGGTCTATGAATTTCAACTGTTTACAGTTGTTAGCAATCGTCCTTAAAACCTATAAATAAAGAAAGACAAGTCCTGGCAAATAAAAAATTCAAGACTTAAAGAGTCAAGAACATTGATTAAAAACTGAAAAAACGATAGCTTCAAAAGCGCAGTCAAGAAAAAACTGGGAATAAACATATAAATTAAAAGACCCAGGTCGCTAAAATAAAAATTACGAAACAGCCAGAAAACGCTCAAAAATATTTTTCACTCTAAAAAAGACAAATCGTACTCGATCTGTGATAAGTAAATTATCGTTTACGGTTAGTTCGGCAAGGTTTTTTAAAGGGCCAAGGTTCAAATCAGCACCTCCAATAGTGTGAGATATAAAACATTCACCGAACTTCAATTTTCGCAGCCTAAAACATTGAAGCCCAATTCAGTGACAACTCAGGATTCAAAGATAAGGTTCAAAGCATCAACTTTCAATCGGTGTAAGACAGTAAACATACTCTTCCAAAGAAACAAAGAAGTTATTAAGTTCTGCTGCGGAGAGCGAATCAACGCTACTCATAACCAGTGTTTTCAATTGTGGGCACCTAAATAAATCTTACCAGAATATTCCATCACTATGTTACTCAAATTCAAGCAGAAATTGGATATTAATGTTCTTTACAGTAACTTATAGAAAAAAAAGAATATCAAGTAATTTAGTTTTCAAAATCACGAAAAAAGAGTTCTAGAAGCGCTCAAAACCTTGTTCTCAAATGATTCATTGCTTCAACGGTAAGACGGTAGCAGCCACTAAACTTTATCGACGTAATTGACGGAGGCAACATTGAAAAAGACGGCACCCCACTCAACCTTTCATTTCCTCCAACGTCAACCATTTTCAAATTATTGCATTTGCTGAAGAAAGAAGTAAGGCCTCGTTCGACAACACTTTCCTGGAAAATGAAAGGCAAAGTGTTTCAGAGAAATCTGTCTAGTTTACTTAATAAGGATAACCCTACTGCTTTACTGGCTGATTTATAAGAGATGTAAACAAGAACTAAGAGTAACAAAAAATTATAAAATTACTTGGAAACATCTATAGAAATTAACGTTCTCCAATTCCGGACAGTGTCTTCCAAGAAGCTGAAGTGACGAGTTGGTAAGCTGAATCCCGTAAAGGCTTAGCGATCGCAGCATTGAACAATAAGGAGCGAAAGACGAGCAAACCGCGTATGTTAAAGAATCACGAAAAGCATGTAAATCAAGACATCTGATGTACCTTCCACAACGCAACATAAGTGATTTTACCTGTCAAGTAAATCCAAAATAAAAATAAAACTACTTGAAACAGTTTTAGACTTTCTTTAATCAGACAAATCAAAACCAACGGTTTCCTGAGTATTTAATTAATAACATCTCTGATTAACTGAAGTAAACAGGAAGTCAAACCTGAGCATTTTCCACACATGGACGATCGTTCAAACAACGATAAGAAGTGCACTCCGTCTGCTCGATTAAGGCTGGATAAGAGAATACATTTGTTTTTGTCCAAGAGAAATTTCTTGCCAAATAATGCCATAACCGGCAAACTCTTTCGGCTTTAACTCGTTCAATTATTGGAAGCATTTCAAAAATCCTGACCTAAAAACACAAATAAACTCCAAGGTATTGTTGAAAACCTTTAATATAAACTGCGTATAAAAATACCAAGATATGACAAGGCAAGTCACTAATGTTCGTAACATGATGCTCGTCACGATAAAAAAAACGGCGACGCGACTTTCTATTTTTTGCAGGTCCGTAAATCACTTCAATTTTTTTCGAAGTTGTGGCAACATTGTCCGTTCTCGACTTACCAATCTGAATCATGCACACTTACGTCGA